TCCAGTCGAAAATCCTTCTAGAAATACCTGCCCTTTGCTTTGAATATTACCATCTTGCCACACTTTTGTCACCGTATGACCTTCATTTATCTATGTTTCGTCTGTGTAATATATTCTACGATTTATTTTTCGAGCTTCTAATACTTGTTCAATCATTTGAGAAATCCCACGTAGTGAAAGCACATTTAGAGAAATTCATTAAAAACTGTATATTTTGTTTTGTTATATCGGAAAATCAAAATTCTTCTCGTAGTTATTTAAAGTGATATCTGACATATATTTTAGCACACTAAGGCCAGGTACTTTGAGTCTCGGTTAAGCCTTGGTTCAGTAATCACATGATTAGATAGTACATGTGCTAATTTATTTTATAATTGTATATTCACAGTCTAATCGTCTGATTAGTTAATCAAGTCTTAACTGAGACTCAAAGTACCGCTAAGATAAATAAAATGAGATTTATAAATAAAATTGTACATTAAATTTTGTGACTTGTGGGGTTTCGTTCTGAAATACTACCTCAAAAATACAAAATGTTTTTATAATATATCCATTAATTGCAGAAAAGAGATAATAAAAGACAACACAACTACCAGTTTTTTAAAGGTCTTCCTCCGCATTTGTGGTTGGCCAATTCATAATAGTTATGTAAAAACTCCTAATATTTTTATTGTCTGGAGAATTTCCATTTTCTTTACATTGATAGGAACATGCTTTTCAGGATAGGCACTGTCATTTGGCAAATTATTAACTCTATTAGTAGCAGATATTTTAAATTCATGCTGTACAAGTCCATCGATGAATTCCTTAGCTGTCACTTATCCCTTTCTAGTACTTTCGTGAGAAAATTGCATAAAGGTCGATATAATAAATGATATTTTTTTGTCTCTAGTAACTACTATTCGATCATAAGAATACTCAGATAAACAATTTCTTTTGAATTGAAGTGTTTTGGCCACCAACGTTTGAAATCTTTTATAATGCTGTTGTTTATCATCGACCATGGTAACATCTTCCTAATTTGTCTTTTTACAACAGCAAAATTACGATCACACGCCATAAAAGAATGGCTGCGGATAGGGAATTACTGGTTTACAGATTTAAAGTAACCAAATTCTATAAGAGCAGGGCATCTTATAACGACGGTATGATTTTTATTTTGCCCGTCCGTCTGAGAAAATGTGTAGGTGCTTTACAACAGTATCTGGCAAACAAGTTCGAATAAAATCTAGAATAAAGGAGCAAACTTCGTTCAGTCCTTTTTTCCTACATAAAACATGTGTATGTCAAACACGTTGACCGTTAGCTGACTTAGATAGAATCTGCACTGCACTAGTATCACAGGCGGCATTAAATTTTGCATATAGTCTATACATATTGCTGCAACAGTTGGATCTGCTTTACCCAGTGATTGAACCTCTTTCATCCTAGAATGAAATTTTTTCGAGCGCCGGATGTGTATGACTTTTTCAGCAAATGCCACTCTTTTTGCAGTTTTGTTCAAGGACTTAGATTTAATTTTTTATTGAAGTTGAACTTGAACCACCAATTGAGCAGGTTTTACATTGCCAGGTGTTCCCTCACCTCTCATATCAATCGGCATTTTGCCTTGCGAAAGAAGCTGACAAATTCGTCGGATACGATCGGCCGAATACCATGTAGATTCATGAACGCTGTTTTACATACCTCATACTTTTCTGAACTCCATGATATTGAATATGTATATACACTTGTATGCTCTTTACGCGATGCTACATTTTGTCTGGGCTGTTTGTGTTTTATAGGAACCACTTGAATCTGACCTTGCAAAAGGGTATCTTGTTGATTTTTAGATTCGCACATGTAAAACTTTGAAAATATTTCTTTCTGGCATTCTGAACTAATTTTCTCAAAACATTTCTTTCTGCATCTATAAACATATTAAGATGGTTACTTTTTTATTATTAGTTTAAACTTACTTGCAAGGTTCACCCAGCTTTCTTTCACTGATAACTTATTGCCCAAACTCGAGAAGCCTCACATGTCATACATGTGAGCTTTTCTCAATTTTAAATCGACTGTAATTTATTAGTGAATGTCCAGACATGTGGGGTTTCTTAATAAAACGATGTGAATACATTAAAAAGCGACGTTTTCGTAATTAACTCCGATTATGTAAAATGTTAACATGTGGGGTTTCTCAAATGAGAGTTTCAAATAGTTTCTTCGCCATATTATTTTCTCGTTTTCGATTTCACTCTTTCGATTTCGTTTTATAAACCGGAAATTCATGTCAAGCATAGTTCGCAAAAGCACCCTTCTAGATACTGTAGGCAAATTTTGATCCTGTGAGATTATATCAGCCTGAATTTTTTTTATTGTCGGAAGCTCATTTTTAAAATACCAACTATGAATTGTTCTGCGAATCGCATATTTTGTGTCGCCATCATCTATTTTTTTTTCCTTCCGCGAGTTTCTACCCGTTTCCGTTTCGCAGTCGAGTCTATTACCACTCCTTATTGCACGATATACACTTATCTCACCGACACTCTAGTTAATGAACTGCACATTTCAACTGCACCACTTACACTCATATCAAACACCAATGAAAGTATAGAATTTGCTGGAGCAGAAGAATATGTGGTGTACGCCAAACGAAACCCAATTGACGTCACACGCCAAACACCAATGAATGTCTAGAATTTGCAGCAGCAGAAGAATTCCGTCCTTCCAAAAAACAGTTATACCTTGCAGTAACTTCCTAGGTATAGTAAAAATTTGGAAGTTTTATGTTAAAGTTTAGGTACCATTATAATTTGCACTGGCTCATATTTCTGCAATACAATTAATTAATAAATACATTGTATAATTTCTTCTGTTAGGTATTGTATGATCTATTGTAGGTATAGTTATGCTTATGGCATGTTGATGCGACTGTAAATAAAAACTATGAATTCATATCTATTTTTTTTTATTTATTCAAAAATTATTCATTGAACCATTATAATTACGTTCTTTGTCAATTTGAATGAAAAAATAAATTTGGTACAGCCTTCTAATATTTGTCTCGTAAAAACAGTGTTATTTCAAGTGTAGGTAAATAAATAGGTTCTGTTTTTATATAAAGTATAAAATTTAATAAATGTTATAGTCCTCAAAAATAAATATTTCCAACCTTTTAACATTTAATTGTGTTGTTACCAAAACAAGGTTCATTTTCTAATCAGAAATAGGAATTCTTTTCAAATAATCCAATAAAGTTGTGCTCGGCTTATTGGGGCCGCAAAAAAAAATCAAAACAGGATGATTTTTCATCCTGCTTGGGGACTGCCTCCTGAGTATCCAACCAAAAGATCACGCTCGAACTCCTGGTACGAATTGCGCTATATCGGGGTAGTTTCTTAAACATTTTTTAAAGCAAAATGACCTTAATGAAAGTTGTAGAGAATCAAATTCTGAACAACTTTTCCTTATAAAATTTTTTTGCATGTACTTAACGAGTTACTGCGCATTATGTGACAAAAATTGGATACGCTGCGCCGCAGCGGTGATCTTGTAAACATGTTTTTACAAAAAAAAATTCCCCTTCGGCGTGCCTCACTTTTGTTTAGACATACAAAAAAATTTTATATGGAAAAGTTGTTCAAAATTCTACAAATTTTATGAAGGTCATTTTGCTCTAAAAAAATTTTTAGGAAACCACCCCCATAGAACCACATGAATAAATAAATACCTAAACTAAAATACCTACGTTATCTGTTTCCTGTATTAGATTATAGTGGCAGAATTCTCAAATGGAGATAGGTTTTTTTAGAAAGTTGATGACCAGAACTAAATATAAAGATATACTTACAATTTATGTTAATAATTAAACAATACCTACCTAGTTTCACACCAAGTTCACTTTTCCACTACCTACACAAATTACACAAAACATGTACAAACTACCCTTTGAATTTAAAAAGTTTTATCAGTTTTAATAAGTTTTCAAAATGTAACGTAAAAATGGTTCACATTGTATAATTTTCATCAGGTGATTTTGATAGTGTAAGGTCGTAGATCTTAAGGCGAATTTACACGATGCAATTTGGATGGACATCAAGGATGATTCATCAAAGATGAAACCATGTAAATAACGTTTCATCAATAACATTTCATCCAAGATAAACAGTTCTGCCTCTTCGCTATCGGTTTCACCTTCGATGAATCATCCTGGATCTACATCCAAATCGCATCGTGTAAATTCGCCTTTACGTTCTTTGTTCCGATCCGAAAAGCAAGTGAAAGCTTTCAGAACCAAGAAAGATATAAGGAATTTGCATGTGTAAGGGTTAAATTTAGCACAGAAAAACTAACATTTTTGACTTATTTTTTATTTATCTTGTCGATAATTCAATAATACATAGGATGGCATTATTTTCATTGAAGAAAGCTTAATATCTCTGATAACCCCTTTATAATGTAATGTAGACAAAAAGTGGTGTGAACATTTTTACACCTCAAATTGCATGTAGGTAATCATGACAGTTGTAAACTAAGTAACAATAACTTTTTATCTTTTTAACATACCTAATTATGTTTTCTGGTAGACAACCTTATTTTATCTTTCAAATATACCTCCAAAGTTTTATGAAATTGCTTGGTAGATGGCGCAGACATAAATTGCAATTGAAATGATGATATATTTTTATGATTATTTTTAAAATAATATCACATAACACATTTTCATTTTATAGAAACAATTTTATAACAAAATCTCATAAACCATTTAGTTTTCTTGTATTAAGTATTTTATAAATTTAGAAATTTTAGTTAAGCTCTCACAGAACAAAATAGTATTCGCACTATGGTTATCCTTTTCCTCCTAGCTGTAATATAAAGGAATTGGATTTACATAATGGTAAACAAAGATAACAACAGTTTGTTTAAACGCTATCTACTTTCTTTTGTATTTGTCATGTGTGTCACTGTCATGCTACTCATGCTCTTTGCTTTGCTCGCCTGCTCCACCTTATTTTTGACAGATACAGATAATTGATAAATATATAATCGTTTAGTAAATAGGAGGAAAAAATGTTTACATAGTAATATTTATCGCACATTAACTTTATTAAAAGTAGTGTGATAATTAAAGGTAAAGAGGGACATTTTCGTAATGTTTTATTTAAATTACCTACTTATTTTCTAGGTATAATCATGTCTCGACAGATGAATCAGAATGAGCGAAAAATCTCTGAAAAGCTTATAATCCTCAATGACAGAGGGATTGGTATGCTAACAAGAATATATAACATCAAAAAAGCATGTGGAGATGCGAAATCAAAACCTGGTTTCCTCTCTGATAAAAATTTGGAATCGTCTATTAAAAATATTGTAAGGAGGTTTCCCAATGTGGATGTGAAAAGTCTGACACCTATTCAAAATTTAAGAAATGAGATTATAAAATCTCTATCCTTGTACTACTACACTTTTGTAGATTTATTGGACTTTAAGGATCATGTTTGTGAACTACTAACAAGTATGGATGCTTTTCAAGTTGACTTAGATATCTCAACAAATTTTGAATTAACAAAGTATTACCTCGATCTCGTGACAACCTATGTATCTTTAATGGTACTACTGTCACGTGTAGAAGATAGAAAAGCAGTGCTAGGCTTGTTCAACGCCGCCTATGAAATAGTACACGGCTCACCTGATCAAAGTTTTCCAAGGTTAGGAAGCATGATTATGGATTATGACATTCCTTTTAAGAAATTATGTGAAGAATTTGTGCCACATGCTAGACTTTTAGCTCAATCAATTAACTCGTTAATTCCAGTATATGTTCCAAGAAATGTCTCAGCCGATAAGTGGAGATCTGAACAAAAATTGACTTTAGTAGGAAATCCTGCATTACTTCTTAAACCTGTACTCTCTGAAAGGATGTCTTGTGAATTTCTCTCACTGGATACAATGGAAAAGTGGATCGTTTTTGGTCTGCTTCTAATCAATAATGTGCTTTTGCAACAGGACCATTACAATAAATTATTTTTGAATGCTTTAGAATCATCATGGGTAATTCCATTATTCAGGGACGAAGTTGTCCATATTCATCAGTATATTTGGTCTTTCTTCGATAGTCTCAAAGGGTACAGTAAGAGAATATCAGAAGTTAAGGAGACATACAATCATGCAGTTCAAAAAGCAGGTTATAATCACCGTGAACGTCGTAAATTTCTACGAACTGCTTTAAAGGAACTTGGCTTAATATTCATGGATCAGCCAGGATTGTTAGGACCAAAAGCATTAATGGTATTTATGGGACTATGTTATGCCAGAGACGAAGTGTTGTGGTTGTTGAGGCACAACGATAACCCTCCCATACACAAAACTAAGGGAAAGTCCACCGAAGATCTTGTTGACAGACATTTGCCTGAACTTCTGTTTCATATGGAGGATTTACGTGTTTTGGTAAGAAAGTACAGTCAGGTGATGCAGAGGTATTATGTTCAATACTTATCTCATTGGGATGCTATCACATTAAAAGAAATGATGCAGAAGTTGCAGTCTTGTCCTGAAGATGAAGGAATCATTTTGTCTTCCCTTTGTAATACTATTTCAAATTTGTCAGTTAAGCAAGTAGAGGACAACGAAACATTCAATTTCTTTGCATTCCGTTTGGACTGGTTTAGACTACAGGCCTATACGTCAACTGCCAAATCAACTATGAGACTTATCGACAATAGGAGCTTAGCGCAATTACTGGATTCTGTTCAGTTTCACACTAAAATGGTTGATAACCTGGATGAGATGTTGAGAGAGACATCAGATCTATCGATTTTCTGTTTTTATAATAGATGTTTTGAGGAACAGTTCCATATGTGTTTAGAATTCCCCGCTCAAAATCGGTACATAGTTGCTTTTCCTTCAATTTGCAGCCACTTTCAGAATTGCACTCATGAGCTGTGTCCAGAAGAACGCCATCATATTAGAGAAAGAAGTCTGTCAGTCGTCAATATGTTCTTAGACGAAATGGCCAAGGAAGCGAAAAACATAATAACTGCTATATGTGATGCGCAATGTAAAATGAGTGATAAACTTCTACCAAAGAATTGTGCACATCTTATTTCCCAACAAATAAACAGGAAGAAAAAAGAGAAAAACAAGAAGAATGCAATAGAATTTGAAAAACCGGGCAAGGAAAGCTACAGGAAAACAAGAGAAAATTTAACGACAATGGATAAATTACATATGGCTCTAACAGAGCTTTGTTATGCAATAAATTACTTTTCTAATATCAATGTTTGGGAATACACTTTTGCACCAAGGGAGTATTTACATCAGCATTTAGAAAATAGGTTTGCCAAAGCATTGGTTGGAATGGTGATGTATAATCCTGATACGAGTGAAATTGCAAAACCTTCAGAGTTACTAGTCTGCGTTAGATCGTACATGAATGTTCTACAAACGGTTGAAAACTATGTGCATATCGACATTACTCGAGTATTTAACAACTGCTTGCTGCAACAAACTCAACCTATTGATAGCCACGGTGAGAAAACAATAGCAGCAATTTACACGCAGTGGTACTCAGAAGTTTTACTCCGACGGGTGAGTGCTGGTAATATAATATTTTCTATGAACCAACGATCGTTTGTCAGTTTAACAGTGGAAGGTTCGATTCCTTTCAATCCCGAAGAATACTCGGATGTGAATGAACTGAGGGCATTGGCAGAATTAATTGGACCTTATGGAATGAAGCAGTTAAGTGAGACTTTAATGTGGCACATAGCTAGCCAAGTCGTAGAATTAAAAAAATTGGCTGACATAAATAAAGATGTGCTGCTGTCTTTACGTACAAATTTCGATAAACCAGAGATTATGAAAGAACAGTTCAAAAAATTGACAAACGTTGATAATGTCTTACAAAGAATGACTATTGTTGGTGTCATTTTGAGTTTTAGGCATCTTTCACAATCTTGTTTAACAGATGTTCTAGAACAAAGAATTCCATTCCTCGTAAGTTCCATTTTGGATTTTAGACATCACTTACCTAGCGGGGACCCCATGAAAATCGTAAGCGAAATGACTTCTGCTGCAGGATTACCTTGTAAAGTTGATCCCACATTAATTTCCGCATTAAAACTACAAAAACCAGAAACCGATGGGGAGAACGAACATTTATTAGTGTGTTTATTAATGGTGTTTGTAGCTGTATCCATACCAAAATTAGCCAAGTCTGAACAGTCATTTTATAGAGCTTCTTTGGAAGGACACACAAACAATATTCACTGTATGGCTCTAGCCGTTAATAATATTTTTGGTGCTTTGTTTACGATTTGTGGGCAAGGTGACATTGAAGACCGTATGAAAGAATTTCTAGCACTAGCTTCTTCTAGTTTGCTCCGACTGGGTCAAGAAGCTGACAAAGAAGCTATAAAAAACAGGGAGTCTGTATATTTACTACTCGATCAAATAGTACAAGAATCACCGTTCCTCACCATGGATTTGCTGGAGTCTTGTTTTCCATATGCACTTATTCGGAATGCTTATCATGACGTTTACAAGCAGGAACAAAATATGTAATGTTTACATATTCAAAAATAAAGTATATTTACTCTTAGTAAGACGTTCTATGTCAAAAATGTACGTATACATATATTACTTTTATTTATTAAATTTATTTTTTATTTATTTGTTAATCAATGTTAATATAAGCCTAAAAATGATAACTTTAATTACACTTATTAGTAATATATTTCATAATTGTATTATTATTAATATACATTTTTATAAGTAATTCGTGTTTTTGTCATGGGGTATGAAGTAAAACGTGAATATGTAATATTTAATTTATTTTCCTAATTTATCTACTTCTAAATTGAGTCATATTTTTTTTGTAAAGCATAAAACTGTTCAAAATATATTTTTTTCAAATATCATTTTTCAAAATACCATATTAATTTCAAAAACGTTTGTTCTGCTTTGAATTTAAAGAAAAGGTTAAAATGGTCACACAGAATTGGATCCGGCATACCCTATACTGCATGCATATGATAAACGTTTATGGGGAAAAAAAGTTTTTCATTAACCCTCAAAAATAAATCAAAAGGTTAAGAATTCGCACTTTACATGTATAATGGATTGGTGATCCCTCTTATAACAACCATGACGTCCAAAAGGTCATTTTTTAGAAAACTGGAAGCTTTTGCTCATAAAACTATCTGGCAAGGTAAACCAAACAAGAATACCGTTGTCAGTTGTAGTCCACACATTTACTTTCTGTGAAAATTTGTTTGTCTTTCAAGTATAGGGACTATTGACTGACCAAACATGAATATTTGTTTCTGATAAAGTTTTAATTCTTCCTATGTTGCTGTAAGAACCACTTGTGAAACTAAACTCTGCTCGGATGGTTTTGTGGCCGTAAGCTTTGACCTCGTTGCACAAGAAATGAATACAACCAACTTTTCCACAAAGTGGTCCAAACCTTTTTTAGCTCAGTTCAACTTAACATGAAATTTCTCTTGTTATTGGGTCTTCGACAACAAAATATGTAATCTGTTGTTTTCCAGTAGTTTAGTTCTTCCCACATACCCTCCACAATCCTTCTGCAAATCACCGTTGTCTCTGCCCCTTTGCACAACTTAAACAAAGAACAGTGGTGAGGGGCAAGCCTGTAAGAGAAAACTTTCAACGTATAGCTGGGATGCAACATCGGCACTCTGACAACACCATAAATTAATGTTAATTAATTCATTGTAATAAATACCGTTATATTCAACAAATATTGAACTTCAAAATCCATGATCGAACTGACACGTAAATGATAACATTAGGTTTTGAATATTCACTTTTTTATAAAAGTGAAAGGTTTTAGCTGCCTTATTTTGGAGGTATTTAAAAAATACAATTTGAAAAAATACGTATACAGGGTGTTCTGAAAGACTGTCAGGACTATGGATTAAAATAATAACACTATGTAATGAAAATTTTTTTCGAATTGTCAATTGTTTGCAAGTTACAGCTGGTCAGTTCTTTTTTTTTAATTTTTTTATTTGAATAAAATATTTAATTCAAGTTTGATTAGTCTATCATTTGGCCATGGGCGTAGCTACAATTTTTGTTTAGGGTGGGCCAGGGCTGCAAGCTCTATGGAGGCGTTTAAAAAAAAAGAGCTCTTGCTCGCAATCAGGCTTTCAACAATATCAAATTTGAACACGTTTTGATTTTGATTCTAAAAAAAGGCCGCAATGTTTTTTTTTTCTAGGGTGGGCACCGGGTTCTCTGGGGTGGGCCGTGCACACCCCTGCCCCCCACTAGCTACGCCCATGCATTTGGCACATCCACGAAGTAGATGAAGCTCTATGGGACCAGTCAGAGAAAAGTTTCATTATGCACCGCTAGTGGGCACTTTATCTAGAACTCAAAATTTGTTTTGTTCATAACTTTTTCTCTTGCTAGACATCACAGAAATTTAAACATTATTGAAAAGAAAAATAATATCAGGAAAAATATGTACTCTTAATTAAAGTCGATAAATGTAACCGTCTAGCAGGAAATCACTATTAAAGTGTTATTAAACATCAAATTTTTGATAATTCTTTCTATAATTAATCAAGTTGTCATGTTGTAATACCATCTCTTGTAAAACCAGCTTTGTTAGTAAATAAAATATTATTAGTAAATTCATTATCCTCAGCTTATTTTTTCCCAACACGAAAAAAAATTATTATGGTGAAAAATCAAACCCACCAGCTTAAACAATTTTTATTACAATTCGAAACACCAAAATTACTAATGATATTTATTTGAAGCATGGCAATTTGATTAATTACAGAAATAATGATAAAAAATTTGATGTTTAATAACATATTAATAGCGATTTCTTGGTAAACGGTTACATTTATCGGCTTGAACAGAGTACATAATTTTTTCTGACATTGTTCCTCTTTTCATTTCTGTGATGTCTAGCAAGAGAAAAAAGTTATGTACAAAACAAATTTTGAGTTCTAGGTAAAGTGCCCACTAGCGGCGCATAATGAAACTTTTCTCAGACTGGTTCAATAGAGCTTCATCTACTTAGTGGGTGTGCCAAATGAGAGACAAATCGGACTTGAATTAAATAAGTTATTTAACCCTTTCACCGCTCTAAACGTATTTATTCGCTAAAAATTTATAGGACTCAAACTGCTCCAGACGAATTAATTCGCTTGAATAGTTAAATTGAATCAGGCTGCTCAAACCGTATATATTCGCAACCATGTGCATTAGTGACTCAGTTGTTGCAATTGGTATAGGGAATTTTTGTGGGCGGAGCTTATAGCGATTGTGGCAATTATTTTTATGGACGAAGATACTGGTAATAATGCCAAAATTGTTCACCTCTTTTTCAGTTTCTATTTAGTACGGCTGTCGATATATTCTATTTTATTTAAAATAAAATCATAAAAATATCTAGAAAATAGATAAACAAAGAACTGGAAGAAATTTTAGAGAGTAGCGATAGCGGCGACGAGTTTGAGATTGAGGAGCGTATTGATGGATGCTTTATAATAAAATATTAATAATTAAACTATTAAAATTATTTTGAAACGTTTAAACATATTTTAATTTAACACAACATAATATAAAAATATAAGTAGTCTAACTGTTCCAGACGAGTATAATCGCACGCGGTAAAATTTCGCACACGGCACGGTAGCTACGTTCAGATGTATTGCGCAGCGAAAGAGTTAAATCGAAAAATACAAAAAATTAAGCTTTGACAAGCTGTAACTTGCAACCAATTGACAATTCGCAAAAAAATTCATTACATAAGTACTGCTATTATTTTAATACGTAGAATCACCTCCCGGAGTTTCCTGATGGACTTTCAGAACACCCTGTATATTTTTTTGAGTAGTTATGATTCAACTTAGGAGTCATATTTATATATGCAGTGACTAGGCCGGTGTCCCATGCATCCGAATTCCGACGATACGAAGGTCCGAAAGTATTCCTATTGGTTAATATACATTCAAATTTTTACCACTCATTTTCATCCGAAATTTTTAAAATTCATACGACGTCCGAAAAAGTAGAAATAATTTTAACTTTTATCCGAAATCGTATGTTTTTTAACCTGACTTTTTAAGTTTTTAACATACTATGATTGTCGTTTGATATATTTACAGTCAAATAAATGTTATATTATAATGTCGAATGTAGAAAATATAATACTACGTATATTTTCTATAATATATATCTATGGTTGTCATTTGAAAATGTTTCACCTTCATCTTGTAATAAATTCCATGGTTCTATACTTGATTTCTATGAGATTAATTTCGGATGCATGTGAATTATAATATTATCATTCGTACGAATTAAAATATTTTCGGATACCGTACATCGGATTTCGGATGCATGGGACACCGGCCTAACAAGTAAAAATACAATGCAGAAAAAAATATAAATCCATTGTAAATCTATCGTAACAATTTAGGTACTCTTAAAAATTAGTTATTATAAAAAAATTGAAATATTGAAAATAGGAGGGGAAATAAATATAAACTGGAATTCTTTTCCCGACTCTCTTGATCTAAACCAATCATCTCATCTTGCCATCATTAGTTGGGCGAGGGTATCAGAAGTGGGAGAGACTATTTAACTGACTCCCTCGATCAATTTTGTCATAGAAAGTAGCGCCATGTCAAAGCAGAAGTACCAGTTTTAAATGCTAGAAAACATAAAATTTGAAATTCTACAAGCTGAAGAAAAAATTTGCTGAAAAGATGGTATCAAAAACTTAAGTCTATTGGCACAAGAAATTTTCCTGTAGCCAGAAAATGGTAGAAAATTTCATTCATTCTTGCCGAACTCAAACCAATATCCAGATTCAAACATTGGGGCAGTTCATGAGCTTATTGATGGTGACAATTTCTGAAATTGCTTTGGACGTTAGAATATTATTCGGAAGTACATAAAAAAGCATTACAGATTACTTAGTTTGCAGGAACTGTTAGCAAGGCGATTCATCGTTTACTGACAGATGTACAGAAAGTAACCCGTATTGGAATTTGTAAAAGATTTTTAGCTTAATATCACACAGACGGACAATTTTTGATGCACCTTTTAACATGTGAAGAGGCATGGGCACACCTTTACTCCTAAATCGAAGAGGGACTGGAGAAAACCAGATCACACGTGAAGGCAAAAGCTAGGTTTGCTTGAATTATACAGGCATATTATTCATTTTCTCCATGAACACTGCCTACTACTGTAAACTTAATAGAAAAAAGGAGAAACATGCCCAATCGAAGTGTGATACTGCTTCATGGTAATGTTGAGTCCCACATATACTCCACGGTCGAAATTATAGACTGTAATTCATCGCTAGCTTTTGGACTAGTAAGGGGGATGAAGCGTGCCGGGAACGAAAATCCATTGGCGTGTCTACGTTAAAGGCAACAAGATATAGAAAATAATGAAAAAAGATAATAAAACATAACATCTAATATTTTTTACGGTTTGCTATAACAGGCACTTTGATCCATTTTAATTATTACAGCATTTTAAAACGTCCCAATTGTTTTTTTAATTTATAAATTTATTATAGCCATGGAATCAGACCCCTCGTCTAGGCTTATGCTGACGTTTCTCAGGACGGGTTAAATCAAGTCCGTTTACACCCACTAAAAAAGCATTTCCCTATTCCCTACCAAGTGCAAAAAACAGAGATTGAATATAGATCGACGTTCAGTGTAACTCGGTCTCTAGACGATTATAGATTATATCGATGTCCGTAGCGAGCGACACAAAGATAAATAATATTGAACCGTATAAAAATCATTTTATATTTTATACGCATTATGGTAATAGTGTTTTTATATTATGTCTTAGTCACTCTTTATAATTTCGACCGCGGAGTATAGTCACATTGGCTCAACAAAAATTTAAACTGTTGCACTGGAAACTCGTGGAACACACCCTACACACCAGATTTATCACCTTGCGACTTCCATTTGTTTCGACCTTTGAAAGAAGCATTAACAAATTTGAAGATGGTGAAAGAATCGTTCAAGTGCAATTAGCTTCCGAGATGAAAAAACTATCTAGTTGGTAGAAAAAATAATTTAAAAAATTTTTTTTATTATAGTAAGAATTAATTTTTAAAACATAATCCCAGTTTATGTTTGATCTCTCTCATAAAGTAGCGAAATCAAAAGACAGAATGAATAGAAAATGATTGTGGGAAAAATAAAAAAATTACAAAGGAACTTAAATTAAAACAAAAAGTTAATTGCTTAAATATTGTAGTTTATTTTCGGAAAGAAAGCATACAAATTTCTCTTCTCACAAAGCCGACTGTGATTAACCGAATGGGATTAAAAAATTATAAAACAAATTTTCATCGAATACATTTTATTTTATTGCACGTTTATTTGTCCCTATTTTTGTTTGAAAAGCTAAATTAAAAAATGTTTATATGGAAAATTTATGACTTTATTTTATATTACAGTTGACAAAAACACATTTAATTATTCACAGTATTATAAAAGCCATCGGACAATGACTCACACATGTACTTTTTCAAGCGGTACACAAAATAGTAATTGGTCATCGAGGTTGGATCGTACCTACTAGCAAATCCAAAGAAAATCTTTCACTTTATACTAACTTGTTTACAAATCACTATATACTTTTCTTAAATATGTAATAGGTAAAATCCACTACTCAAAATGTAAATAATTTGGTACATATTCATATAAAAACAACTATTTTATTCCAATATTTACATATATTATTTTTTACAATATTTATCAATTACAGAGGTTATCATCAAATATAGATTATCTTTATTTGATATCTATCATTAAAGACAAATATTGAAACAGTAAAATAAATTTTTATCACAATTTCCAGAAAATTTAACAACGGTACAAAGACAGTTTTAAATTTAGGTAATATAAAAATAGTAATTTTTCAGAAAATAAATTATTAAAAAACCATGAGATCTCTGCACAATTTGAAGTAGTATTAATATTAAGGATATTTCACATAATGCAGTTGTATACAATTATTATATAAATTGGTAAGTTACTAAAAAGTACTACAACAAAAGTTGTCGGGTATAGAAAAGTTGCATCCAGCTTACCATTATAATTAATATTTACAAAAAACGGGACAGAATATATTCTTGAGCAAACCAAGTTCAATATTGAGGTTGGGTACAGATAAGCAACCATCGTGTTCACATGGATTCTACTTCTGTCAAATACTTTCATGTATATAACGCCAATGAACAATTATTTGAAAATAAATACCAAGAACAGATATTTTAAAATGTCTAAAAATTTAATAACAAAGCATCTTTGGACATAAATCCATGAAATAGTTTTCTGCAAGTTGTATCCCATCTTTAAAAAAAATGAGCAAGTGGGATGAAACGTTTTATTAAAAAATTCTAGTGTATGTGTAAGAGCATTCTGGAACCTATTTCAAAGATTAAAACTTGCAGAAAAAAATAAGAGCCTTTGACTAGAACCACAACTTATAGAACAATCATAAAATTCAATTTTCTTTTTTCGTTTTTCATTTTTATTGAATATTTTTATGTGAAGCAAAAGTGGACACCAAACTTTGTAGTTGCACCATATTAAAAACACTGAAAATAAGTTTTAATTATTTTATCCGAGTTTAACCAAAAAGCTTAATCAGTTCAATCCACGCTGTGCTAAAATGTATTTATTAAAACTTTATTTACTATAAAATGTAACTATTATTTTAAAATTGAGGGTGAAAAGACTTAGAAAATCAATCCAATTTTGTTTTGTTCTTAATGTTTATCAATTTATTATTAGTGTTCAGGACTCACAAGGAGAAGGTAAGATAATCGGATTTTTGTAATTTTTGATATTTATGGTTTGGACCTAGAATAAGAATTTTCCGAAGTAGTTCGACGCAACGTTCATAAATTACCGAGATAATCAATTTTGAAGTTTTACCTGACGGCTAAATCCACTAGATGCGACACATTCTTCAACTGGCAGCGTGGCCTAATTGGTAGCATTCGGGTCTGACAGTCATGAGATCGCTGATTCGAGTCCGTTTCGTGACATTTTTTTTTTACAAAATGCACCATATGGTATTTTATTATTTTTCTCATCTCGAACAAACGGAATATTATAATAACTACTTATGTATATGTAGGAATATTCTTCAAATATTTCATTAAATTGCACAATTGGTTGATAAACAATATTTATTATGAATTAATTAAGGTTTCATTAAAAAAAAAAATGAGGTCTGGTAGGATGTTCTTTTATTTTATATTTTTGTTAATATTTGATATTTTACGCAGTGTAACACGAGCCAGAATGGTAGTTATCATAGAAACATGGGAAGCAGAAATTTGTTAAGCATCCAGCTTTCTTTCTATTTCTTATCTCAAAAATTATGAACACCCGAAATATTATAAGAGCTATATGTAGGAATATTCTTCAAGTGTTTGGTTAAAATTTTGAGCAAGGTGGCATGGGTCGTCCACCATGTTAAAACCGCTTACACAACACACCTGCTCGGGCATAAAAACTTCCAGTAAATTCCACAAAGGGTAGAGAAGCATTGAAACTGTGCGATGAAAGAACAATCTTTCAAAATGTTAACGAAATATGCTTTGACGTCGATATTTTCAAAACAAAATGTGCCTGTAAAAACATAACATTTACACGACATGCTAGATTTCTGCTTCCCATGTTTCTATAATAACTACCATTCTGGCTTGCGCCACACTGCGTAAAATGTCAAATACCAACATAAATATAAAATAAAAGAACATCCTACCTGACCTTGTTTGTTTTTTTTTTTTTAATGAAATCTTATTGTTAATTAATAAATATTGTTTATCAACCAATTGTGCATTTTAATGAAATATTTGAAGAATATTCCCACATACACATAAGTAGTTATTAAAATATTTCGTTTGTTCATAATTTTTGAGATGAGAAAAATAATAAAAAACCATACGGTGCGTTTTGAAAAAAAAAAAATGTCACAACGGACACGAATCAGCGATCTCGTGACTGTCAGACCTGTAGGCCACGCTCCCAGTTGAAGAATATAGCATCTAGTGGATTTAGCTGTCAGGTATAACTTCAAAATCGATTATCTCGGTAATTTATGAACGTTGTGTCAAACTACTTCGGGAAATTCTTATTCAAGGTCCAGACTACACGTACCATAAATATCAAAAATTACAAAAATCCGATTATCTTGTCTTCTCCTTGTCAGTCGGATGATCAGAGCCGTTGCGTGGCCTTTTGCTACAGCGCACCATACGAAACTGGTAATAACAGCAGTTATTGGTTTTGCGTTTGCTTCGTGTATACGCGTTTTAATATTCTAATAATGTCGAATGTGCCAAGGGGTAAAAAACGACTTTTCGTTACACGAAAAATACGTTAATTTATTTGCTTAGGACGAACACGCCTATGACTAGCCGACGAAAACCCTGAACTCTATTTATTACAGACGAAATTTTATCTCTAAACAAATTCACTTTTTTTGCGTTCAAATATATAATAGATAAATCTAAAGGTACACTTGTACAAAAACATGTTAATAATGTAAATGGCAGCCTTCGTTCTTCTTCATTTGTTTATTAAGTTTCTACTACTTATATTTCATTTTTTTAGTTTAAAATGAGTATCAGAGCATTATTTGAAAATGCAAACAGTATGCAACTTTTCTAAGTTGAAGTAATGGTGTGACACTAAGTCTATCAGAAAGTAAAACATTTCCCACCTTAAATATACGCACGTACTCTGAGTATTTGTATTTCAGACAAGTTTACGAAAAGAAAAATCAACACTCGTTTCAACGAGATGCTTAAAGTGGGAAGTATAAATAACTAAATAATATTTGGTGCAGAATGGCAAATAAATAAAAAATACTAAAAAACAATTTCTCTTCTAAGATATTAATTAAAAACATATTTTTTACAAATTGTTCTAAGTTAGGGGCTCTGGCCCCCCTAAAATGCAACAATAAATTGGACAATTTTCGTATTACAAATCTATGTTATACCAAAATGTAGAACAATATAAATCAGCCTTTCATTAAAAGGAAGCTAACTAATAAGTTTTACAAACTTCATAAAAACATCATTCTCAAATCCATAAAAAAGAACATACCTTAAAATTAAAGGTGACTATATTTAAATGCACCCGTTTTCATTCATTATTAAATCAATTCACACGCACTTACTAAAGTTCCCGTGTTTCAATCACAGAGCACATTGGCCAAACATTTAAAAGTCCGGTTAAGTTGAGCCACGTTGTTCACTGGATTCTGTTTGTGAGTTAATAACGATAGTCCCATTTTTAGGATTGTTCGTCAAGTGGACAAGCGGAGCACCTTCAAACTGAATGTTGGCCATTGGGGTACCAGGGTAATCGGGCGGTGGAGATACCCGATTATCCCCAGCTTGACCGTCCTGTCAGACTTTGTTTCTCATTTCGTATGCTCCCGCGTACAGTTCGGGGTGATTCTGACGACTGTAGCTAACAGGAGGAGCCGTTGCTAGTGGAGAATAGTCTATTGTATTACGGAGAAAATACTGGCATTAATTTTGTTAGTGTGTCTGTAAGTGTGCTGATGTACATGTGCAATGATTACTGGTGCTGGATGCTAAGGATGAGCTTAAAAATAGATTTTTGTGAATAGTCAGGTAAAAAACAAAGATTTGCTTATTACTTTAATTGAATTGTATTAAATTTTTTTTCAATCAATTTTTTTTTGTATTTTGTTAAAGGTTAAATTTCTGTTGGCAGAACCTCAAAATTCGAATGTTAAAAGTTAAACTATGAAAAAAATATGAAGAAGTTTTTCAAATGAAGATAATGAAAATTTGGATTTTTACAAACATTTCTTGATACTCTTGATAATTTTTTTTAAAGGGCAACTATCTGCATTTATTGTAAAGTATGAAATGTTTAAGAAAAACAGATTTTTTTAATTTCTGCAATATTTGTGAAATAATGAGGACCACATCAGAAATTCTGAAGTAACGTTTCAATTTTATAAGTCAACTGCGCAGAAGTTTTTGTACGTTTGGATTTTTTAATTTGCTGTATTGTTTCAGTTTACTTCAGAATGAGATATAAATGAGATGAGACTTACTTATACCTACAGGGTGTCCGCATTTATAGGTGTACAAGTCATTAACATAATAAGTAAAACAAATGACATTCAGAGAATTTGGAAATTATATCCTTCTCAAAATTTCGAATCCAAAGGCTGCTGCATTTTATAGCTGACAATTTAAAAAAATTGTTATTGCCATTTAGCTATTCTTTTTTTAATCCAAAATTTATTCTACACAACTAGTCAAAAAAAAATATAGCAGGCTTAGGATTTACAATTTTAAGCAAGTTTTAATTTCTAAATATGTATCATCTTTAATGTCTCTTTAATAAAAAATATCTGAAATATGTTTGATTTTTACTTATTAGTACAATAACGACTACTAATCTGGACACCCTGTATAATTTCTAATACAAAAAATTATGTTTTACTAACTTTATTCGTTATTATCAGACAATAAACTATAAAGCACATTATATTAGCAGCTTTATTTCGCTACAGTGTTAGAATAATAATTGCAAAAGAAATTTCATTACATTTTATTGCTCCGTTGTAAAAATAAAACTGTATATTAGTAGATTTATTATTACTTGCTTAATCACTTACACTTTTTTTAGTAAACCTTAACATTGCCATTGATGAAAACCCACAACTTCATTAAATCATAGTTACTGACAATCGTTTAGAAAACATTAGCTTAAACGTTATTAAAGTTGTTACAATCAACATTTTAAGATTCATCCTTTGGCTAGCTAAAGAACCATACAAACTAAACAGTTTCTTACAATCTTTCGATTGTTTCAGACACTAGTGCTCAACCTTTTGATAAAAAAGATCCTCCTAAAAAAAAATTACAACTATGAAAAGATATGCCTTAAGGCCCCCCCTTCTTAATTTGTATATTAGGTATTCAATGTACAGACATACAGACATATTTTTCATATCCAAGCAATATACAGGGTGTTACAGAATGATGTTTTAAAAATTTGGGAGATTGTAGAGCATAAAATCTGGAACATTTTGCAATAAGGAACCTATAACCGGAAGTGTGAAATAAAGTTTTTATAACAGTAGAAGGTGTTTGACTGTTTGACCTCCTATCACTTGGGTAGCTACCCTTCCATCGATTGACGTTACGTTATTGGGAATGTCAGTGCAGCTCGTCGGTTGTACGCAGGAAGGTACCTAAGCAGATGACTTCCTAGCAATATAATATTCAACAATATTGATTGTCGACTGACGATGAGAGGAGCTGGTGCAAGGAGAACGAGACGAACACTTGAATTTGTAAACGATATGGAACATGTAGCTGCCAATCCAAGAACAAGCACACGTGCAATTGCCCACGGAACGCACGTAAATCACTTGGGTGTCTGGCGTGTTTTGCAAGGTGAGCACTTACATCCATTCCATGAACAACCAGTTCAAAGTATGAAACAGCCTGATTTTAAACCATGGCAACAATCCTCACAGTAGTTCCTTCATCAACATGCTGCTGTCCCCAATTTTCCAGACCTCGTGCTGTTTACTGATGAGTGAACTTTTACAAGAGAGGGTATTTTTAATAATAATAATAATAATAACACCGATGGACTGTTGACAATCTAAGCATTATCCGTTCGAGAAGTTACCAGGTGAGATTCTTAGTAAACATTTAGGTTGGAATCCTTGGAGATCGCCTTATTAGACCACACATCTTACCATATCATTTGAATGGTGCATGGTATTCGAACTTTCTGAAGAATGCCTTACCAAAGAAAGGCCCAAAATCGTTACGAGTCAATAAAATTTACCGCTTCGTAACGTAATATTAAACATTCTCAAAAACACTTCATTCTCATTCCAAATCTAATACGCAACTGAACAATTTATTTAATGCCACTGATGACAGTGCCAATGCCAACCCTCCTAACACATATTCGAGAAATCCCCGACATAAATAGCATTCGAGATGTACAATGTTGCCAACGCTTATACCTTTCAATTTTTGTTATTACTGTATCCGGACATTTTCCGGGACGTTGGAAATGTGGGAGGGCTCACCTAAAAATGGGACAATTCTGCAAAATCCGGGTCAAATGGTCACTTTAAGCATATCCCACAGACATCTTCAGGCAGACAGTAATTGGAAAAGGAGATGCTCGATCCCTTAGCCTGCACACTCCCCTGATCTAACCTTTCTTGACTGTCTCCTCTGTGATTATGTAAAGTCCTTTGTGTACTCAACACCAGTAGAGCTTATCGAGGCCATCTTTACCGCGTTTGATACCAGAAGGGAACGTGGAATCAGGAAAATCATGATTCGTCGCTGTACATTATGTAACGATGTTGGTGGTTGCCCATTGAACATTTAATCTAAAGTAGTGAAGCCACAAATTCAGTTTACAGTATTTGATTGTACTCTACCGCTTTGTCAATAAAAGTTTACCAAACAGTATTCTGGTTCCTTATTGCAAAATGTTCCGAATTTCATCCTCTAATTTTTAAAACGTCGTTCTGTAACACCCTGTATATCTGTGGTCCATCCAACTATTTTTGTTTTTTAAATTATTCTATACACCATACAAGTATTTTCCTCATCTATTTGGAAAATTTTTCTATTTTACCTAACTATATTCAACAAGATCCAGAGAAGAGTTTTGTTCGTACAGTCTGTTTTATAAGAGCGTGTATGGCAAAACTTTGTCCTCGAAACCGTTAGAGGGGAAATTTAAGCCTGAGCAGGTAGTGATACCCTTCCCCTCAGATGCTTTGTACAGAATTCCTCAGTTATCGTTTGACCTTGGTCTCAGAATAACTTATTTCACCATGTGTGCTGCGTACGCATCACGTTACAAAGCCGTGTTTCTGTGTTTACATCCGAAAGGACCGAAAATGTCGCTCGAAGCAGCCGCTAAGTACATGAAATCAAAGACATTTGTAAGTGGGTGAAAGGTTATGCCGACGTAAAAAATGTCGATGACCTACCGGATCGTGGCTCTGTACGAAAAACGACAAAAAACGAGGACAGTGATTTTATGGTAAGGGTCTAAATGTGTCGTGTGACACTATATGAAGAAGGTGTTTACTGTCTGAAAAACACGTCAAAAAAAGACTCAATTGGGCGAAAGATAATTTGGACAAGATTGGGACAACGTAATTTTTTCGGACAAAGCTTCTCTTTGGGGACATTCTTCTATCACTCATACCTGGTTTACCCACGCGAATAGACTCATCCAGCGGACCGTTAAACACTCGGTAAAGGTGCACGTCTGGGGCTGTCTCTCAAAGCAGAGATTTGACAATTTGCACATCTTCACAGAAAATTTGAACGCTGCCAAAATGGTCAAAATATATCAGACGGCTTTATTACCATCTGCCGAAAGGTGGTTTACGCGGAAAAATAAAAATTGGTTACTGCAAAAAGACAATGACCCAAAATATCGGAGTCATCTTTGTACTGGGTGGAAGCAAGAAAATGACGTCAACGTACTGGATTGGCCATCGCAGTCGCCAGATGCAAATCCAATAGAAAATATGTGGTGTGGGCGCTCATGAAATTGAAGCTCCGAGAGAAGATATGGACCATTAAGCAGTTATTTCGACAGATTCGATTGCTATGGAGATCTTTGCCACAAGAGTATGCTATACAATTAGTAGAAAGTGTACCTCGGTCTACATGATGTAGTAGTATGTGTGTATTTTTTTCAATTCATTATCCCAAATAATTTTTGAATTTTGCCGTACACGCTCTTATCAAACAAACTGTAAATCAAATAACAGTTTGACCAATTGTTTTACGCAGACGCTTGCGCTCCTCATTTCTGACAGCAATAAACCAGATCAATTTCAATGAACAGGTTGCGCACCGCTAATTTAGTTTGTATGTAACTTGATACTAAGCACTAACAAGTAGCAGTGGAATATTAGTTGTTAGTTACATCGAAAGCTTGTCCTTCACAAAAGCAAAAAAAATGTCAAGCATGCATGGGAGGTATTTGTAGATCACACGTTTTATAATCTAACAAACAAGCACGGAACAATAACAAAATTCTGTGGTCTTACCTTTTGGAGCCTGGTAGTGTCCCCGACCCTCCCCGTATCCAGCCCTGGGGCCGCCTTGACTAGCTGATGGTCGAGAAGATCTGTCTTGTCGACTCCTACCAGAAGGACCGTGAGCGCTCGGATGATGAGGAGCATTATGATGGTACCTCTGTAAAATGATGTTAATAACCACGTATAACTATGGTCTTTGATACATTACCATTCTTCTCAAAGTGTTCATGGGTCTCCTCAAGGTATCGCTAATTCTACGGGCTGGCGGCTTCTTAGGATTAGAGGATGGGGTGTGCACGGCGCAGCACTTGATGAACATTCCCATCAAAATTATAAAGATAATGCCCATCAACAGCACCGCCCACCAGTATTCCGTGATCCACTGAGCTACGGTAATTAACGTCTCCCGATTGAGCAGGAGGTTCATCAATCTCACTAGCGGTCCATCAGCGTCGACTGCGCGACATTTCAAGAACACGTCGCAATAACCCTGAAAGTCAATATTATTTTGTGATTTACGAGAAATTATTGTGAACAGAACACTGTACGATTAAGGGATACCGATACTGTTAAGAACCTGCATACCAATGCCAAAAATCTAATTATTAAACAATAGAGTCATAAATAAATCAAATCACAATTTTTGCTATTTCTTAATCTAACTAAATAATTTCGTGTACTCTCTGCATCGAGAATTTATTGTGCCATTCATTTTGTATATTTTTCCGATAATATGTTTTGTTTGAAGGAACTTTTGAGACATTCTATTTTCACAAGCATGTACAAAACGGAAGACAACCGAGGCTACATGTTTTAATTTCTGCTCTTTCTAGTTTCCCAATGGGGTGTCGATGGGTATCATATTCATAAAACTGTGAAAAATACATTATTTTCACATTTGTATTGATCTGACAATCAGAGTAGTTGTAAATGACTGAATTTAATAGATCAAGAATATACAGGGACGGAAAGTCCTCATGGTTCATTGGCCGTTACGTGAGAGTGATAAAGAAAGTCATAGAAATCTGTGCAATAGAGAAAGATGGCTATAATGAAGGCGTCTAATAGTCACCGCCCATTTCGCCATTCCACAAATAAGATCCACTGCAACCCACGCCAATCGCCGAGTCAACTGAGAGCCAATATCTGGGAGACCACCGAACCGACGTAGCAGTGTAGGAGATCGGAGAAAAAAAGTGAGAATTTCTAGGATGTTTCCAATTTAAAACCAAAAAAAATCCCAAAGCGACAAAAAGCCGCCCTAAAGCCAAGAAGGTGACACTGCAGAAGGTCAGGTGAAGCGCAGCAGACAATCTACAGGAGTCGGAAAAATAGAATTCGACCACTTTCAAGCCATCACAGCCAACTGTAATCATAGAGGGTAGCAACAGACAGACAAAGGCTGTTGCTAATATTTATATAAGCTGTATTTTAATCAACCAACCAATTTTATTTTTAAAATGTCCTTATATTTTTTTACAATGTTTGACTTTTAAAACCCAATGCAGTCCTGAGGATGTTATAATAAAAACAACGAAACGTCGACAAAATGCAAGTGTTTTTTTCTGAGGTAATCAAGATAAAAAATAAAAAAATAGAAATGTAGTTTCTGACTTGTTGGATATTTAGATATACCAAGAGAAATTTAACAATTCTTGGAACCCCCAAAAATGCTTTAGCCATGGAATAGAATTTTCTGCATGGCTTACCCGTCACTTGGATCTACGTGTTGAGAATCAATCACTGCCTACTGTTTTTACACTGGAGTATAATTACCCCTTACCAATTAACAAACCACATCCTCTTTAATTATCCAATACAGTTGCTTTTTCACATTTCGATTACTTTAATTTCCACTAATCATTCAAAAATAATATAGATGTAAATAACACATGTATTTTAAAATATTAATTTAGTATTGAAATTTAAGCTAAGCAGAAAATTTATTTAAACATATGATATATACCCATATTTCACAGCACAGACGCACGTCACATAAGAAATAGAAGGTGGCGGCTAATACCACGTATCTGTTATCCGGTAAACAACAGGCGATGAATAATTAACGAATAAACGCTAATTAACAAGTATCAGGTACTTAAAATTATGGCTCAAATAACGAATTTTTCCCTATTCATAGACAAACATACCTGAAAGTTGTCACAGGGGGCTCCGGGGCGCAAACTTATACCTCCTGGCGGAAGACCAACTTTTTCAGAGAATTCACTCGTACTCCTACAAATATCCGTCCCGTTCTGACAAGCTAATTCACACAGTCTACGTTTGTCGATGTTGGGATGGTCCTGAGTGGTCAAAGAGCAAGCCTGAAGGTTCCATTCAAGACAGATTGAGCCACTACACTCTCCGTTAATGCACAACTGAGTACCATTGTTACATCTTGTTTTATTGCGACGTGGTAGAGGTGGCGGACACTCGGCGCTCCTGCCGTTGCACCTCGAGGACATCGAACAGTCCGATTCCATCTTGCAAACCTCGTGCTCTTGGAACAGGATGAATTTACAAGTCTCTCCGCTACAGCAGGGTCCTTGACTTGGACTATAAAGAACAAACAAAAATAAATACTTGAAAAATAATAATCATTAAAAAAAACTAAGGCTTTGTTATGTCCTGCTGACACAAATAGAAGACTTGTAAGGTTTAGAAACGTCTCGATATTTGGAAATTTGTGATAAAGTCAATTCACAAACTTGTAGCAAGTTCTAAACACTTATTTTAATAATTCAATGTTGCGAACAAAAAGAATGTTTCATGTTTTAATTATATTTTTATTTCTAAGATTACTCTTATCTGCATGAATAATATTCATTAAAAAATATACGTTACCTGCATTCGGTGAATGCCTTCCGCCTGCAGCCTGTGGCACTTTTGTTCAACAGCCTGTCCTGCTGACTGATGATTCTCGGATAGCAACATTTGTCTTTGCATTCGATATTGTCGTATCCACAATCGCATTCCTCACCAGCTTCCACAATTTTGTTGCCGCAGAAAGCTCCAGCAGAAGCGGTAAAACAGTTTCTCTTTTTATTGTCTTCTATGGCATCGAGGACATTACTTATATTTCCGATACTACAGCTAGAGAATTTGCTATTATTTGGACGATCTCCGCTAGTGGCGGAGGCAAACATAATAAAGTTACCGTTAAGACCTCCCGGACGACACTCTGGAGGATAGTCATGCTGGAAATATGTTCACACTTATAATATACTGAATATGGCAAAATTATAAGTTTCTGTATAGCATGCTCAAGATTAGATTACTTATCGTGGGGATATTGAAACCGGTGAAAAATTTTGAAATAATTACGCCATTAACGGATCAAAACAGTGTAAACAGACCTCAGATATCTAGTAAATAGCTAAGATCACCCGTCAAGAGAATTACAGACTGGTTTGGAAGTTGTTAGTTCTTATGGATACATTGTAGCCGAGACAATTGACAAACGATTCCACACGTAAAAAAGGTTAGTAGGTCGCTCTGTGCCAGTAGATACAAAACAATGTTTTTTTGCCAGTAGGCATTGATAGCTATGGATATTTAAGAGTTGACATAGTTTATCGGTTGTGGTTAAAACATATTGGTAAATATACATTTAAATTTTTCAGTCGTTTCACCTACAGTATAAACTTATTTTTTAGTTTCTGTATCTTCCACCATTTTTGATACCCCGTGATAAAGATCTAAATCTTGGTCGGTGTACAAATAATACAAGATGAGTTACAATTAGGTGCAAAAATGAAGTTACTTCTGGTTGAAACTAAACAAAAGAATATACCTCTACACCAAAACGCTTCCTTAAAAAGATACAGAGTTAAAAAAAATTGTTCTAAGCTCTATTTTGATTCAGTTTGTGGTCTTTGTTATTAAAAATTTAGATAAGATAAAGTATATTAATACATAAAAAAAAAAATTGTGAAAATTAATATTCAGCAAGTAAATCTGGTGGTCCACGCCTGTATTACATATGAAGGTGGGCATTTTGTATGTTTGTATGTACTTACACAATCTGGCTATTAAGTTTTAAGCCTGATTTTATTGTTGCCAAGTGCATGGTAGAGATGGAATCACACACTTCGCCACAATAAAATCAGTCATAAAAACTTAATAGCCGGACTGTATAAGCTATAAGTTTTCTTTGTTTTTGATTTTGGTTATTTACTTGTTACTTTTGGACTTATTTCAGGTATTTTCAAATTAATAAAATTTGCACAAGAGGTATCTCTTTTAGGGATCATTTTGGTAGCGAAATATGTTGGTCAATTGCCAGAGAAAGCTTCAATTAAATTTTTTACACCTATTTATAACTCACTCCGTGATATATTAGACCTATTTTTGTAACAACCATAAAAGTATACATTTTTACATTCAAAGAGTCAAAACTTACTGGTGAGCCAAAATTATGTCCAATTTCATGGGCTAAAGTCAACTGTGAGACCTTGGGCGGTACCCTACTATTATAGTTAACGAAAGTAATAATCCCTGTATTTAGAGACCTCTTGGTTGACTGATACATTCCACCTATAGTCTCTGTGTAGGTCTTGTACTTTTCACAAATCCCTCCAGAGGCCCCCGACGCACTGGCAACCCAGGCGAGCCCAAGGGTACCTCCGGTGAAGTCTCTATATGTGAACACATAGGCTAAGCAAAAGTCCTCATGGTTGCCTAAAGAATGTATATTGAGGAAGTTACTAACGTCTATGTTTTCTAGACAAAATTGGTTTATTTCGCCGCAACCATGGTGGGAGCATTTACATGATGAGTCATCGTCAATCTGAAAGGATACAGGATCAAATATAATAATCTTACATCTAGATTTAACTTTAGGTTACACAACATTCCTATTGTTTGGACATATAATGGCATTGCATAATAAAGAAAAGTAATAGTATCAAGTTCTATAGATTTGGAATAGGCAATGAAATGTAACCTAATCATGCTTATATTATTCAAGAACTGGTTTGGTATATTATCATCAAACTTCACATGAATTTGTTATCTTGTTTGGTCTAATTATTGTACTGTGCTGTTCTATTTGAGTTATTTTATATTTACATGGTGCATGTAAAGAAATATATAAAGTAATCTTATCAAGTTATTAAAAAAATGCAATTTCTTGATTGTAATAGTGAAACAAAGATTAACAAAATGTGCTTGGGAGAAACTAGGGGTACCAAAATATTTATACATTTTCTAAAGTGTGACTACAAACATTTACAAACATTTGAGAACCGCTGACATACAAAATAGATGTGACAAAATAATAGACACAATAAAAATTCAAATAAAAGTTCTGAAGTTCTCAATGAATCTGAATCCCATTTTTAACACCTTTTTATTCCATTTAACTTTCATTAAGATATATTTACTTTGGTTAATTTTGAAAATATTTCTCATTTTAAAAATAAAATTATTGAAAAACCAATATCCACAAAAGCAGAAGAAAGGACTTTCGCTATAAAAAATAATGTTGAACACATTTTCTCTATATTTCAATAGTACTTAAAATAAAGCTACCCAATTATATTTGATTTTTTTTTTTTTCAATACTTTGTACCTAAGTTTTTCCTCCCTCTCCCTGTATGGTCACTGTTCTAAATGTTTTTGGGTAATTTATCTGTGGTCGATACAATACAGTTAAACATTTTGTGGCCAAGAATCAATAATTTATAAAATTTTGACTATTTTGAAAAAAAAAAGTTATTTTACTACGAGCAACAAGCATTTTTTAAAATTTTGAAAATTACTGTTAGTCAAGCATTCCAAGCAGAGACAAAATTGTATTTGGGATGAAAACAGTAAAACTAAAGATGAATATTTCGAAAATTGTTTAATATCGTTATATTTTTTATTTTTAGTTTGTTTCCGCATTGTCCATATTTAATAAATTCCATTTCTCCAAACTGATGATTGATGAACTATAAATTCAGATAACTACGATATCTAAAATATATTACTTACTAGATTTGATTTTAGTGGCATTATATCAAAAATGGATAATGATCAAAGCAGATTTAATAACAGGTGATAATGACCTTTTTTAGCAATTTTTATTGAAAATGTGAAATATTTCCAAAATTGACCAATTTGAATTTCCTAAAATTTACATCAAAAACTGTAATTTACTGTAAAAACAGTAATTGTTTCGCAAATCTGGGTTGGTTATCTTACACATTGTGACCTATTTTCATTCTAACTGTTACCCTTTGAAAATTATTACAAATTTTATTGTGTCTTCCAAAAAATTTCCTATTTCTATATCTTGGCTAAAGAATGGACCAAATACTACTCGATTGTAAGCTGAAAGTTAGTGGGGATACTTCGTACAAAAATTTATCAACAAATAATAAATATATTAATACAGGGAATTAAAGTTAAACAAATTAACATAATTTTAGTTATATCTCGGAAATATTTATAGCAATTATTTTCTAACTTTACATAATGAATAATATCCTGAACCTCTATTATCAGGTATAGTTTTTGTTGAACTGGAAAATCCACTAGCATGCATACAATTGAAGGTGACCTTTTCTGAACACTGACTAAAATATAAAAAAATATAATATTTAGAATCTGCACCAATTTTACAGCAAAAAATTTTCATTTGATTTTTAATCATAAAATGCAAAATTTTCAAGTAAAATTGATTTAATTGAAAATCCATCATACCTTATGTCAGTAATTGTGAAAAAACATTACAAATATGAAATAATAGACACAGTGTACCTTTTAAAAAATTTTATATTGTGTTTGTTACACTTGTTAAAAACACCCTGTACAAAATTGACTAACCAAGCTCACGGCTATAATTTCCACATTTAGCACTTTTTTTTCTAAACTAAAAACTAATAAATGATTAAGACAGGGTGACATTTACAACCAATAATAATAATAGACTGTGCAACACTGAATGAAAATCAGTATTTCTTGAAAATAATGCATGGAACAAGAAAATATTTTTCAGGGTAAAATATTTGTGGATTATAAATATGCTATTTTTTTTTTATTTTAGTCAATGGCATATCATTAATTTAATAAAAATGTACCAGGAAATAATAAAGGTACACCACTGGATTTTCCAATTCCTCTGAAACTGTACTTGATAGAACTCCAGGATTTATTAATCATGTAAAATGCATAAAAAAAAACAAATGTAATTTTATGTCTTACCTTTATTCTCTGAACTTCAAACTTGATATTGCGATGTTCACTCCTTCCGTCAAACTTAGTATCACGATAAATATAATTAACGGCAGTGACATGATGAGCAATGAGGGACAAAATCTCCTCTCTAGTCTTTTCGTTCACCTCTTCCTCCTTTCCTAGGGAAGTATGCTGAAAATGGGCGATATTAACCGATATTATTTCTACATATTGAAAATAGCATACCTCTGGAAATCCCTCCCTGATATGTTTCCATATGAGGGGATCAGTCTGTATGTACAAGGAACAGGTATTTTTGTTTTCATCTCTTCGCGTGGCTCTTCTATGCCTACTATTAATCTCCTCATTGGCTTCTCTAGAATATTTGTTATGAACGTCCTCGTGATAAGGTGGAGGTCTTGGCTGTTCCTTTTTCTCTCCTGAATCCCAAACCTTTTTATGTTTCTTGGGTTTGTGAGATTTTGTTTTAGAAGGGGGTACAGGAGGAAGATCCTCCGCTCCTGAATACTGTATTCTTTCCATCCACTGGAGAACGTCGTCGTTTATTCCGCAGCCAGAATAATGACCTAAAAAAAAGTTTATAACTGTGCATACCCGCATGCCAAACATGAACCACATTGCAAACCTCAACGATTCGAATGATTAACTTAAAAGCGGTTAATCGACGCAAAATAACACTTACCCTGCCTTTGGTGTGCATAGGGATCCTGTACGTGATCCTCGTGATAAATGATGGAATGGAATGTTTGGTTGGGGTGTTTAGAGTGGGGGAAATAGTGACGAGCCTTCTCCACGAAGTACGAGCCCTTAGGAGATGCAATCTTCCCTTCGAAAACGCCGTCAATTAACGAACCGAACACTGAACTTTCTGGTTCACCTGTAAAGAAAAGACATTTTGCAATCTATATCATCACGATTTTAATTGTCCTGCGAGATTTAATCGAAAATCAAAGGGGAAACTGCTGACCAAAATAAATAAACTAAAATAGTCATTCTCATAATTAATTACTCAAATATTTGTAAGACATATTTAAAAAGGGGTAACGAGGGATACGCGCACACGTGTGGCAAATAATTGTTTAATACTTAAATATTACCTAAGTATTACTCAAATACTCGTATTATTCAAAATTGTACACTGATCCTAAATTGAAATATGAAGTAAAATGAAATTTCCTTCCACTCATCTGGCCTAGGAACAACATTCTTATCTAATTTAGCAAAATCTGATCTAATGATATAAGGGTGTACTTTTCGTCTTCACAATGAATAAAAAAATGAAACTTTGAAAATAGTAAGTATACCTAATTAAAAGTAATTCACAAATACTTCTGCCCTAAAGTTTACCAAGTTGTTATTGATTTAACTAGAATTTGTAATTGTAACAGTGCAAGAGAGGTTGCAAAATTTACAACCAGGGCACAATTTTAAATCTTTTATATCTTTCTCAAACAAATTGATTTATGTATCTACATCTGTAAGGGGTTTAAAGCGACGTTGCGACAAACTTTTTCGTCAAAACAAACGATAAAACAAGTAATAATTTTTCCTAGAACGATTTCGAAGGCCTGTAGATCTCTCAAAGATTATAAGCAAAACACAGTTTTTCATAAATTATTCAAAATTCATATAAATTGTATTCTATAATTATGGAAGTCATCTATACGTAAAATTGGATGAAAAACCAGCGACATTGAAATAAAAGAGTTTCAACTATCAAAAAAGTAGTTATTTAAAGTTAAAAAGAATCTTTAGCAGATTTGGATAGACGTTTTCCGAATAAAACTTTTGTATCTCGAAAATCAAAACAAATTCCGTACAAACCTCTTATTCTTATTCTATGAAAAAAAAGTACATACCAAAGTTCTGATTGAAAGTATTCTGTCCATATCTGTAAAAGATTTCTGTCAAACATATACAGGGTGTCTCATCGGGATTTGCGTCGATCGATATCTAGGAACTACTCCGAAAAATTTGAAAAGTTGACAACATGGCAATGNTAGATCTCTCAAAGATTATAAGCAAAACACAGTTTTTCATAAATTATTCAAAATTCATATAAATTCTATTCTATAATTATGGAAGTCATCTATACGTAAAATTGGATGAAAAACCAGCGACATTGAAATAAAAGAGTTTCAACTATCAAAAAAGTAGTTATTTAAAGTTAAAAAGAATCTTTCGCAGATTTGGATAGACGTTTTCCGAATAAAACTTTTGTATCTCGAAAATCAAAACAAATTCCGTACAAACCTCTTATTCTTATTCTATGAAAAAAAAGTACATACCAAAGTTCTGATTGAAAGTATTCTGTCCATATCTGTAAAAGATTTCTGTCAAACATATACAGGGTGTCTCATCGGGATTTGCGTCGATCGATATCTAGGAACTACTCCGAAAAATTTGAAAAGTTGACAACATGGCAATGTCCTTGGAGCGAACATAACTAAAATATCTAGAACTCTCCAGCACTTCCGGTTATACCGGAAGTCGGCACCAACATCGTTATTTTAAATGGGACATCCTATATATTATTGCATTTTCGAATTCTACGTGAAATTTGAAGGACACTTTATTAAATATTCCCTATACCTAGGAGTTACAGAATTTGAGATATTAATATTTAAAGAAAAAATTTGACAGATGCAAGGGTCCACGGAGATGCTAGTAACTCTTTTCAGGAGCGTGATATCAAGTGGATTTTTGGTACCTGTTAAAGGCATAGGTAATACTACAATATGGTAGACCAATAAATAAAAACATTTAATAATGTTTCATTTTTGCCGTTACATTTTGATAACTTCAAACAGCTATAACTTTGTTAATTTAAATGGAACACCCTATATTTTTTTACTTTGTCGTATGCAGATTGAAATTTCCTTTCAAGCCATATAAGCATTGTTAGGGTTGTCGTTACTACTTTTAGAGATATTTGCAATTTTCTATTTTTTGGACATTTTTTTCTAGTATCAGACCTGTTGTCAAATTGGCCATGACCAGAAACACTCCAAAACAATTAAGGGCCCCATATTCTTTAAATAGTGTTTTCCACAAAGACGAATAATTTCAAACATTTAATAACTGAATAATCTAAAGCTCATCAAATAATAGGAATGTTATGTCATGCCATCTGGTTATTTTCAAAGGCGCCGCAGTAAAACGAATAAACAGGTGCAAAAAACGATCAAACCATCAAGGTTTTAGGTACTGAAATCTACGAAAATACTAACTTTTTTATATATAACTCTACATGTAAATATTCTTATAACATTTACTTGCTTAGTCCTACATATAAAATTGTTTACTTTTATTTATAAGTACGTGAAAATAATTCCTAAAATGTGGGGTTAGGATAACAGCAAAAGCATGTTTTACAAACGCTTTTTTCTTAGTTATTATTTTATTTGAGTAAATTTAAATAGTAATAATGAATAAACAGAACACCAAGGATTTTATTTTTGTGCTTACTTTTGTTGTACACGTTTTAGTTTTCAAGATTTCAGTACCTAAAAACGCCAGAAATTTGACTATTTCTCGGCCAGGGATATGGCCACCTTAAAATAACTTGACATTTGTCAAGTTAGTTGTCAAATTTTTGTTATGTCTGGAATAGTTTTTGCTGAAAATTTAAATAAAAATGCCTGGGGATCGTTTAAATTATACTTATGAAGATTATTTTAATTTGTTTGTTCGTTACAATGTGGCTACATATTTTAGATTCACCCTGTAGTTTTTCGAAATGTTACTAACTTAAAGTAAAGTGATACAGTGATCTTTTTTTATTAAGCAAATTTTGTTTTTGTGGTTAAGCAAAAATAGTTTCATAAATTCAATCCTTGACTGATTATTTTGGCGCAAGGATGTGTTTAATTACACACAACTACTATTTTTTTTACAAATGGAAAAATTTTCAAATACATAATTTTACGTTATATGTAATATTTTTCTCGCATAGAATAAAAATAAAATCTGTTACTTTTCAATTTCAATAAAACTTCCACAACTTTTCGTAAATATATAACTTTAACACAATTCTCTAAGCAGTGTACACACGAAAACACACAGATGTTAACTTTTAGACAAGTTTCTGCAATCCTAGTTTCATGATTAAGTGTCAGAACTACTTTGAACAACCCGTGTACCACGGTAAATCATGTAGCCTGTGGCTAGTCCAAGTCAATTTTAATATATCAAAATAGTTGAACATAAAATCCCTCGACTTTAATATGGTGTCAGTTATGATTTAATAATAATATGGGCCCTTCAAAAAACAGTCAAATGTATCAAAACAAAAACTAATTAATGAAATAGAAATTTATTAATTTAATAATTCCATTAGAAAGTAATTTATTTACACATATTATGTTGATTACTTGGTAAAATGCAGTTATAAATTACACATATAAATGAAACAAAGGAGTGTTTAATAAGTTTTAATGTCATATTAGTAATTAAAAAGTAAATATTTATTAGAGAGAGAGAGAGAGAGAGAAGTAATTTAACAATATGTGGGTAACCTAGATTCAGCAGTTTACAAACTACTTTAAAATCAAAACTCGAAGTTCCCTAGACTAACCTTTTCTCAAGAGAAAAAAAAAACACATTTTTAAAGTTATAGATGTTAGTGTAGCAAAAACATCTAGACTGACAATTTCTAAAGCTGTTCGTTTGTTGCTCATAAAAACCGCTCTGAACTTAATCCACTTTCTAAATTTTATAAAAAAAAATAAAAATTATATTCATAAACGACTTTCATTCTAGTCTAAAGTAGTTCAACATCTGTTAAATACGTACATTGGAATCGATCCGTATTATTAAAAAGATCTTTCTTCGAACAGATACAGAAGACATTATATCACGTATGTTGCAAAAGAAAAAAAATCATTCGCTTTATATATTTTTGAAGAGCGAATAATTTCACTTTAAAGGCATTTAATTCCATTTCAATACATTGTTTACCAAATACCAACGTTACTTTCTAGAAACAAATTAATCAACTAGTATAACTTGTTCGTGATACGGCAACAACAAAATTATTATTACCTATTCTAAGTTCTAACAATAGCACAAAGGACCTTACCGCACAGTTGACACCCAGATTATACAACAAATTTGAATTAATTTATATTTGAGACCGCCCCAGACAAACAAACACATTTAATATTTCCTTTAATAGAGAAATAAATTAACTAACTTTGAAAATTCAATTTCACGGGCCAATATGAACGAAACTCTATTTTGACTAAATTCAATTTGCAGAATATTATACAGCACTGTACTCAGTGAAGAGTTACATAGAGTTTGACTCTATGTAACTTTCTACATATTTGTGAATTAATAAATATTTTTATTTTTTCATAGAAACAGTTGCTAATAGTATGTAATTACTTTTGCATGGCCACATTTTTTCTCAAGAATACTGTTCTTTCTTTATCCTCAATTTCCCAACGTCATATTCAATAGCTTTAAATTTCCTTATAATAAAAAACATAACTTCTAAATGAAAGAATTAAACTACTGCATAACTTGTAGTTGTGTAGTACTATACAGAATGTCTCTAAAGGGTCTATACAACGCTCGACCAGATATAGTACGGTTCAAAACAAGTCGATTTAACTACAAACTTGCCTTAGTCCAAAAATTGATAATAACGGATCTACAGGCGGTCAAAGTTGAAAAAATAAATAACATTTACTTTAATATTTTTCAACTACTTCGAGCTAATTTCGTGGAAATTCGTATCTGGGGGTTTTTTGGGATGAGAAATTCGAATTTATCGACGATTTCGTTGTATCTCATAGAGAGCACCACAAGCGACCATTTGGAGGCATTTAAACAGCCAAAACTTTGTGTAAAAATTTTTTTCCCAACTTTTCT